TCTGTTCTTCTAGCCACTTCAGGCTGGTCTGCCTGTCCTTTCAAGTGGAACTTTCCCACCTCTGAAGAATTTTCTGGATGTGGTTCAGGATTCTACCTATAGTCTTATGTATGCAGGAAGCCTCCTTCACTGGGCACGTTGTGGCCCCATTTTAGGTATTCTGTCGTTTGATTTCTTGACTGCTAGTTCCATGAGTGTTTATAGTTGATCCAGAAAGAATGAAGTCCTTGACAACTTCAGTCTTTTCTCTGTTGATAAGAAGGCTGTTTATGGTCCAGTGGTGAGGATTTTTGTTTTCTTTACACATTGAGATGTAATCCATACCAAAGGCTGTGCTCTTTGATCGTCATCAGTAAATGTGTTAAGTCCTCTTCACTTTCAGCAAGCAACATTGTATCATCTACATATCTCAGGTTGTTAATAAGTCTTCCTCCAGTCCTGATATCACGTTTTTCTTCATATAACCCAGCTTCTCAGATTATTTGCTCAGCATACAGGCTGAATAAGTATGGTGAAAAAATACAACCTTGTCACACACCTTTCTTAATTTTAAACCATTCAGTATTCCTATGTCCTTTTCAAACAACTGCCTCTTGGTCCAGGTACAGATTCCTCATGTATATATATACATTTATGCCACAGAATCATCTTTTCTCCTCTAACTTACATCTCTACTGCCAAATTAAATCTCAAAGACCCTCCCCAAGCAAAAAGAAGCCCAAGGCCTATAGTACACATCACAGCACTGAACAAAGAACAAAGAAGAGTACAGTGCTGGCACTATTCACTTGAGTTTCTGGGACATGAAATCCCCATCTCTAATGTCCTGATTTTATGTGGAATGCAAAGGTTGGGAGCAAAGAGGAAGGATCAGTAGTTGGGAAAATATGGTCTTGGTGATAGAAATGATGCTGGAGAATGCATGATGGAATTCTGCTAAACCAATGATTTGTTTATTTCAAATACCTTCTATAGATGACTATACACATGGATCTCGCCAGATGGAATACACAGATATCAAATTGACTACATCTGTGGAAAGGGACGATGGAAAAGCTCCATATCATCAGTGAAAACAAGGCTAGGGGCAGACTGTGGAACAAACCATCAATTACTGATATGCAAATTCAAACTGAAGCTTAAGAAAATGAAAACAAGTCCATGAGAGCCAAAATATGACCTTGAACTTACCCCACCTGAATTTAGAGATTATCTGAAGAACAGATTTGATGTATTAAACACTAAAGACCAAAGAGCAAAAGAGTTGTGGGATGACATCAAGAACATCATACATGAAGAAAGCAAAAAGTCATTGAGAAGACAACAAAGAAGGAAAAGGTCAAAATGGATGTCAGAAGAGACTCCGTAACATGCTCTGCAGCATAGAGATGCTAAAGCAAATGGAAGAAATGAGGAGGTCCAAGAGCTGAACAGAAAATTTCAAAGATCAGCTCGAGAAGATAAAGCCAAATATTATAACAAAATGTGCAATGATCTGCAATCGGAAAACCAAAAAGGAACAACACGCTCAGCGTGTCTCAAGCTGGGGAAACTGAAGAAAAAAATCCAAACCTCAACTTTCATTATTGAAAGATTCTCTGGGCAAATTATTGAATGATACATAAAGCATCAAGATAAGATGGAAGGAATACACAGAGACATTGTACCAAAAGTAAATGGTTAATATTCAACCATTTCAAGAGATACCATATGATCAAGAGCCAATGATACTCAGGGAGGAAGTCCAAAGTGCACTGAAGGAATTGACAAAGAACAAGGCACCAGGAATTGATGGAATAAAAACTGAAATCTTTCAAGAAAATGAGGCGGCACAGGAGGCACTCACTCATCTCTGTCAAGAAATTTGGAAGACAACTATCTGGTTGACTGATTGGAAGAGATCAATATTTGTGCCCATTCCAAAGAGAGGTGACCCAATGGAATGCGGAAATCATTGGACAATCTCTTTGGTATCTCAAGCGAGTAAAGTTTTGCTAAAGGTAATACAGAAAATGGCTACAATCATACATTGACAGAGAACTTCCAGAGGTTCAAGCTGGATTCAGAAGAGGCCGTGGAACGAGAGATATCATTGCTGATGTCTGATGGATCTTGGCTGAAAGCAGAGAATATCAGAAAGATGTTTACCTGTGCTTTATTGACTATGCAAAGGCTTTCGATTGTGTGGATCATGACAAGCTATGGACAACATTGAGAAGTATGAGTATTCCAAAACACTTAATTGTACTTCTGAGAAATCTGTACGTGGACCAAGAAGCAGTTGTCCAAACAGAGCATGGGAACACTGAATGTTTTAAAATTGGGAAAGGTGTGCAACAAAGTTGTGTTCTTTTACCATACTTATTCAACCTGTATGCTGAGCAAATAATATGAGAAGCTGGGTTATATGAAGAAAAACGTGGCATCAGGATTGGAGGAAGACTCATTAACAACCTGCGATATACAGACGATACAGCCTTGCTTGCTGAAAGTGAAGAGGACTTAAAATACTGATGAAGATCAAAGAGCACACAGCCTTCGGTATGGATTACATCTCAATGTAAATAAAGCAAATATCCTCACCACTGGACCAATAAACAACATTCTTTTCAATGGAGAAAAGATTGAAGTTGTCAAGGATTTCATTCTTCTTGGATCAACTATCAAAACTCGCAGAAGCAGCAGTCAAGAGATCAGACAACATATTGCATTAGGCAAATCTGCTGCACAGGAACTTTTTAAAGTATTGAAGAGCAGAGATGTCAGCTTGAAGACTAAGGTGCGCCTGACTCAAGCCATGTTATTTTCAATAACCTCATATGGATGCAAAAGCTGGACAGTGAATAAGGAAGATTGTAGAAGAATTGATGCCTTTGAATTGTGGTGTTGGAGGAGAATACTGAAAGTGCCATGGGCTGCCAAAAGAACCAACAGATCTGTTTTGGAAGAAGTGCAGCCAGAGTGCTCCTTAGAGGCCAAGATGGCCAAACTTTGTCTCTCATACTTTGGACACATTGTCAGGAGGGAACAGTCGCTAGAGAAGAATATCATGCTTGGTAAGATGGAGGATCAGAGAAAAAGAGGAAGACCCCCAACGAGATGGATTGGCCACGTGGCAGCATTGATGCACTCAAGTGTGGCAACAGTGGTGAGGTTGGCCCAGGATCGCACATTGTTTCATTTTGCTGTGCATAGGGTCACTATGAGTCAGTTCCAACTCGATGGCACCTAACAACTACAACAATGTACTGATCCTCTCTGGATAAAAAATGATCTGCCTTTGTTTAAAGAGGGCCAAATGAGGTTCTCCATGCGTGATTTTCACACTTGACAAAACAACCAATACACTTAAAAGACACAATAAAGCATGCTGTACTCCCAATTGGTGCCTCAGATAGCGAAGGGTGTCATCCAGAGACAGAAGGCAGAGTGGTCCATTTCACAATGAAACCAAAAAGCAAATAGCAACAACTACTAAGAGGAAAGGCTTCCAAATCACAAACGAGCCAGTATTATTTTGCCCATTATATTCCACTCCTTGTTTTGTTCAAGGATAAAGTATCTTCCAATAGGTTCACAGAAAGAAGACAATAGACACAAAGAATCAATACATGAAACAGCAACCACACATACAAATCTCTCACCACCACCAATACAGAAAGCGGGCAGCAAGTGCAAGAGCATACAAACACAGCATGAATAACTTCTTCCTAACCAAACATCTAAATTATCTGCTATAGGCACCTACTGGCGTCCTATCAAAATAGGTAGTAAGTTTAAAACTCAGGGTGAAAGAATAGTATAAGGGAAAATAGTAACTTTAAAGTGAAGAAACCAGGGAGATTCTACCTTACTCAAGTGATATAAATTAACATCACCAGTCACGGCATGTGGATATCATGCCCCCGATATGGTGTGATGACAAGGACACTTAACTTGTGACATTTAAAAAAAAATCCATAGTCCCATTCTAATCATGAAGACACTAGAGAAACTCAGATTGAGGAGCAGTACATAAAACACCTGACCAGTACTCCACAAAACTATCAAGGTCTTGAAAAGCAAGAAAAAAAAACCAACAAATAGTCAAGGCCCAGAGGAGACTAAGGAGAGCTGAGCAGGGTACTAGGACACACCGGAGTATTCTAGAACAGAAATGGAACATTATGGAAAACTGGTGAAGTCCAAATAGAGCCTCAAGTTTAGTTAACAGCAATGTACCAAGACTGGTTTCTTATTTTGACATATGTATCTTGTTAATTAATACAAGATGTTAACAACAGAAGAACCTGGGTGAGAAATACATAGATCATTGTACCATCTTGGTAACTTTTCTGTAAATCTGTAGTTATTCCTAACCCAAAAGTTTATTTTAAAAAACAGAAGTGAGAGTAATCAATATTGTCAGAACGGAATTCCTGGCTTTAGAAGTCCCAAAAGAGTAATTAAGGCAAAGTGAATGGTTTTGGTAATTTCTGACAGAATCCAACATTGCCCCAGGGCACCATGAATCTCCACAAATTGTGCTAATTATATTACCTGCACTGAAATATTCATCCTCCGAGAGGGCTGTCACTTCAGTGTCCAGTGGGATGGGGTCACACAGTAGAATGTCTTTGCCCAACACATCACACTCGTACCCATCATCAAAGAGCAATTTATATTTCCCAGCTCCAACATCTCGTGTGATTTTCCCGGAGTAAAAATAGCCATTGGATGACCACTTAGCTACAACACGGAGCCCTACAAAGCTGTTCCCTGGAGAGGAGGTATCTAAGCCATCAGAGGGGCCAGAAGCAGCCTGAAAAGGAATCTCGGGAGAGTCACTGCGCCGCAAAGCACCAGCACCCGTGTCAGCTCGTCTGCTGGAATCTGGTACTCGGGACACAATCCGGGTAAAGGATTTATCTTCTGGTGTCATGTTGGGTGAAATGTCCTCTATGCCCATGGGGCCAGATACAGCTGTTTCTCTGAAGAAAGATAAAAAATAGGAAAAGGCAGTGAGAAAAAAAAAGGAGAGAATATATGTACACATACCACCAATTAATTTCCCAATTCTTTTTCCATGGATCTTGTGAGCCCGTTCTTTGATGTTCCCATCACAGGCATGAGCCTGGTCTTTCACTCTGATCCCTGCCCACTCCCCAGTCAATGTGGGTCCCTTTTTCTCCCTCTTCATACCCCCACATACTCTCTACTCCCCTCTCTTCTCTCTATTCCATTTTTTTCCTACACAAGTCTCTCACACTACCCGGGTACCTGGTTCCAGTGGTCCGAGAAGGCGGGCGGCCCCTTCGCCCGCGCCCACGAGGCGTGACTGGAGCTTTCCCTCCCTGTCTGATGCCAAGGCCCGCATCACCATCCTCCTCACACACTGGCGCCCCTGTCTGACTGACCCCTTTTCTAGGACTAGAGAATGAAGACAAGTTAGTCTGATTGCACCTGCTACTGAATCCTTTCTTCACAAAGTCTCCCCTTGGCCCTCAGACTATATGCCAGGCCAACAGGGTCTCCAGGGCAGCAGGAAGCTGTTCCACACACCCACCACCAAAATCTCAGCCAGGAAGTAGGCAGAGGAGGATAACAAGCAAAGGACTTTTTCTTCTACGCAAGCCTATTCCTTCTTAACCAAACTTCCTACTGCTGCCCTCCAAAACAGCACACTCATTTCTCCTCTGCCCTCTCCTCTACTTTAGGCTCTGGAAACCTGCAGAGGACAAAACAAAAAGCTAGGGGAAGCATCCAGTTGGGACCATTATCCCATACTTTCTATATTCCCAACCCAAACACTTGTAGGCTACAAAATAGGGCGATGGTAGAAGCATCTTCCCTTACCCTACAGCATCCTTAAAGTACCATCACCTGTTTTTCCACATTTTCTCAGGGGCTTCTTTACCAATAAAGTCTACCTCCCATAGGGCTCCACCCTACCTCCCATGCAAACCCAAAACAGGACAAGAACAAATGAGGAACAAGAGTCGATTTATCCTAGGAGGAAGGCAGGGCAGATTTCCATTTCTCCCCCTCTCCTGTGATATTAACACAGCAGCAGCCCTGCCCCTCTGGAGACCCTGTCTGCACCTCAGTTTTCCTGGGCCTCCTCGAGAGCTGGGTAAGGCAAAATCTGCGGGTTCTGTCCCGCCACTTTTCACTTTGAGTAGGCCGGCTCCTCTTCCTGAGCTGCCACTGCTGTGCATGGCTGAGAGACTTGTCCCACTTGATGTGTGCAGTAAGCTGGATGCTTTGGAGGAGAATGAGCTGATGTCCCCCAGGTCACCAGAGGAGCCCCCAGTCTGTGAAGGAGAAACTTCAGTTTCACACTCCTGACATTCTATAACTGGCTCTTCAGTCTCCTGAAAAGAAAAATGGATATAGAAGCTAAAAGAAGCCATAGTAACATAATGCTAATGTGCTGGAAGGAAAATCCTAGAGACAAGAAAAGTAGGAATCAGGAGGAAACTTTCTGGAATATACCCTAAATCTTGTTTGGAGAAGTGGTTAGTTACATGTGTATATAAATTGTTAAAATCTACTGAACTGGAAAAAAAAAAAAAAAATCTTTAAAGGCTACCCATCAAAGTAGAAGATAAATAACCTAAAATATTTTCTATGATATACAAACCTCTTAAATCCATGGGTTCTTACCAATCTCTCTAGTATCCTCTCTATTTCCCACCCTATGTTGTTGTTGGTAAGTACTGTGGAGTCGGTTCTGACTCATAGTGACCCTGATCACAGTTTCCGAGGCTGTAAACCTTTATGGGAGCAGAACACCTCATCTTTCTCCTGCAGAACCACTGGTAGTTTCGAACTGCTGACCTTGAGGTTGGCAGCCCGACTCGTAACCACTACGCTACCAGAGCCAAGTTGAGCTTCAAGGTAATCAGTAAGCGATGTCCTTCTGTCCTATTCTCCAGCATTATCTGCCACACTGTTTTGAGCACTCTTTTTTTGTGAGGGATTTTAGATTGCTGTGGGCTGCATCCTCTCTTTCTAACAGGCTCTTTCCAAACCTGAACCACAACAATCAAGATCTGGACTTGTTGCATATCAACTCTAAGCTCCTGGACAACAGGGACACTGTCCTTTATCCTCATAGTCTATAGACCTCACTGGTAAAAAATGAACCAAAATTCCAATAAATTACAAAAGAAAACAAGAATAAGGGAAGATAAAGTATTTCATAGTTATGTTTTTCTTCCTTTCTTAAGCATGGAATAGCATTATACTTCGGATTGTTTCCTAGAGTTCTCTGAATCTGTGATCTGGCCTCAGCGATCTGCCCACCTTCATTCTGCTACACATCTTCCTAAGTGCTGCCCACCAAGTAGACTATTCCCTCCTGTGTACTCTGTTACTTTTCCTCAACAAGCCTTCTACATAGAATGCCCTTTCCCCTTATTTCCCAATACTGAAAACCTTTCATGCCCAACTCAAACACTGCCTCATCTACACTTTATTAAAATTGCCTTCAGATGAGTCTCTTCCTCCTCTGAGCTACTATGATATATGCCCTTCTTCTGAGGCATATATATATATATGTATATATAAAATGTTGTTGTTATGTGCCGTGGAGTCGGTTCCGACTCATAGCGACCCTGTACAGGGTTTCCGAGGCTGGAAATCTTTACAGGAGCAGAAAGCCTCATCTTTCTCCCATGGAACAGCTGGTAGTTTTGAACTGCTGACCTTGTGGCTCACAGCCCGATTCGTAACCACTACGCTACCAGACCTATATATATATATATATGTATGTATGTATGTATATATGTATATATATATGTATGTATGTATATATGTATGTATATATGTATGTATGTATATATGTATGTATATATGTATATATACACACATATATACACACATATACATATATATATATATAATGTTTTCCTGTGAATTATGATAGTTTACATGAGGAACATTAGCTTTATATTCATCCTATCATATATCATTTCATTGCCATGGTTACAATCGCCTCCATGCATTACCAACCAACCAAAGGGTATACCCTGCAAGCCTGCCCACCGGTCGTTGGCACACAGTCCCTCTCTCCCTCTCTGGGTCCAGAGTCCCCAGCCGCTCCATCTCTCCAAATCATCATCTCTGCCTCCATCTCCGGTGTCACTGTTTCTCTGGGTAGGGTCCCGCACTCCGTTCTTCTCCCTTGATGGTCCCAGGGACCTCCGCCTCCTAGACTGCAAAGTCAACCACTTCCCTCCTTTTGCTACAAAATGTCTACCTTTACATTTCCATCCCTCACAGTCAGTCCTGATAGCAATTATTCACTGTTGAGTCACAAGAGTCCTATCTCCCCATCTCCTTTCATCAGCCCCGCCCAGAGAGATTGGATACTACTCAGTGGAGATTCTACCTTCCTCAGCGCCCTCTGGATCTAGGCTCCCTCTTGAAATGAGGCAAGTATTTTTACTCTTCAGAGACAAGAATACTGTAATGTTAAGAAATGGAGGCTCTTGACCTAGCTGGGTTGAATTCTAGTTCCTCTATTAGTTGTCGTACCTTGAGCAAGTTAACTTCATCTGTAAAATAAGTGACTTAAAGTCATGAGAATAGTACTTGGTACATAGTCAGTAAACATTAGTCACTATTATCAATGTATTTAACCATAATAGTGCTGCCCAAATTATGTTCCACAGGGGCATAGTAAGTACTATTATTTTAAGTTCAGAGATCAAATAAGTATGGGAAATGCTGAGTTACACAGAATACAATACGTATTTTTACTAACGGACTTAATCGAACCTTCAATGTGGTAATAACCCACTCATACCCACGGCCATCAAGTCAATTCCAAATCATAGTGACCCTTTACAGGGTTTCTGAGGCGATAAATCTTTACAAGGCATCTTTCTCCCATGGAGTGCCCACCAAGGCTCCTTTGATGTGGTACTAGGCACGGTGAATTCCATTGGGAAGAAGGAATTATAGCATTTGGTGTTTCTCAAATTTATGTCTATGAAGCTTGTTTCCCCCTTTCAGAATATCTAGCAAGCCTGTTGTTTCCAGAAACATATTTTAGAAAGCACTGGTAGCGTAGTGGCTACAAATCGGGCTGTGAACTGCAAGCTCAGCAGTTTGAAACTACCAGCTGCTCCGCGAGACAATGGTGAGGCTTTCTGCTCCCGTAAAGATTTACAGTCTCAGAAACCCGGCACAGGGTTGCTATGAGTCGGAACCGACTCCACAGCACACTACCACCACCACCACCACCACCACCATATGAGATATTAAGTATGGTGGCACTGTAGGATAAGCACAGGATTGAGAATCACAAGGTAGACAGTTTAAGTCCACCTGCCACTCACAGGAAAAAGATGAGGCTTTCTGCTCCTGCAAAGATTTAAAAAACCTCGGAAGCCTATACAGGGTCACTATGAATTAAAACCAACTCGCCAGCACTTATAAACAACATATGAAATATTAAATGAAGTAACATGTATAATATCTAACATCGTATCTGGCAGAGTTCAATGTGGAGTGCAAACATTTTTCATAAAGGCAAATTATTTTTCTATAAGTTGCTAAGTTCAAAATTTTTCAAAATAGTAGTAACACTGAAAACTAAACTCCACAAAATAATGATGCTGAATCAATACTTCAAAGGAGTTTTTCTGGATTTGGTGTTCAATAAGTAAAGACAATTTCTCAAACTAATGGCAAATGTTATCTGACATCAGGGCTACAACGAACAGTAGTAATATGTTCCATTTAATACAACCATACACTAGAGTTTATTTCCCCATGGGCATAACTTTCTATATGGCTAGCAGGTAGAATTAAAGATCTGGGTGAATCTTTCAAAAACAAAGAAGGAAAAAAACAATTGTGCCTCCTATCAATTAATAAAATGACTCCCAGATCACAATTTGAGAAAATCTATCTAATCTCAGACAGTATTAGCTCTAAATAAAGTCAGCATGTGATGTTATCCAACATAACTGACAAAAAATGTTAATTCATTGATCCATAAAGAATTCCACTAAGAAGGGAAGCACATTTTGGAACCAACAGTTCCAAAATCACATGTGCGTAAAGACTAGGAAAGAACACAATGAGAAAACACATAAAAACTCAGGAGGAAACAATGACAAAACACATGCGGTTAAGCAGCAGAGTTTTAGATTTCATTCTTGTTTTCAGGAACTGAAAATAACATACACAATCTTCACACCTATATGTGAGAAAAATTTAGAGTTATCAATCTGTTCTTTATAGAAAAGGAAAGCAAGATAAAACTGGTTAAATAACTGGCTAAAGGTCAACAGAAAAATCAGTGTTGGGAAAGAGTCCCTAACCCAGTTCTAATCTTGTGGTCACTGCCCTTTTCGTGTTCTGATAAAGATGATAAAGGAAAACAAAGCATTAGTAGCTAGCTGCTCATAAGAAGTGAGGCAGAGTCATTTTTCTATGGAAAGAAAGTTGCCACAGAGACCCAGGGTTACCTCAGTTACTTTTCTTTCTACTTCTGTCCCATCCACGTAATATACATCTGTGATGACACGAGTGACAAGAGTGCGCACTTCACGGATTGTTCGCATGTGACGATGCAAGACATGGCCATGTGGAGGCTGAGGCATATCGAATTCTTCCTCTCCCTGTAATGTGAAAATAGCACACAAGAATGGGCCTCAATGCAAACCAACAGAATCACAAATCAACTTCATGACAAGCATTGTTCAAATTCCATGAATCTAATGTGACAAATTTTTCCGCTGCTTTTTCTATTCACCTAGAGAGGAGACCAACGATGGCTGATTGTAAAGCTAACTACTAAGAGGAGTTGTTAATCAGTATGACCTAAAATGATCTATTTCTGTCTAAATTGAAGTCTTTAGCACCTAGCACTTACCTCTAGGGTATTTAGGTAAACCTTTTTTTTTTTTTT